ATAATAACACTAATAAAATGAGATAGTATGTATATTAGAAGAAATTATAGTATATGTCTGTTTTCAGTTTCACATCAGTTTTGCAAATGAGTTCTAGTGGTTTTGAAATTCTATTACTTATATGTTTCTACCTTAAAAACTCTAGCATGCTGTACTACTCTTAGAGGCACTTAGGCTAATCTGAAGAATGAATATAAATTAAGGGTATGACTGAAAGTTGCTAACATAAATCATTTGAAAACCTGGAACATGTTGAACTCCATCTAGGAGACAGATTTGGGGCATTCTTACACATTAGATTTTCTTTTTTCTTTTCTTTTTTTTTTTTTTTTTTTTTTTTTTTTTTTTTTTTGGTACCATGGATAGAACTCAGGATCTTATGCTTGCCAGGCAGGCACCTATGCCCCTGAGCTATCTCCCTGGCTAGATTTTAATTAGGCTTTTAGTGGTACTCATCATCATGTGTTTCCTGGAGCTGCATTTTGAAGGTTTTTGTTTTTCCTTTAGAGAAAACTCCATTGAATTTAAACTGTACTTGGGTTGAGTAGACAGTATCAAAATCTGTGTCTTCACTATATCTCCATAATAGTGCTCTTAATCCAATGCCAGTACTGATTGAGGTGCTTTTGTATATATTAGCTCATTTCTCCCCACCACGACTCTGCTAAATAGGTAGTTAGTATTGTCCTTGTTCTTTAGGTGTGGAAATAGGATAGAAAAATTCAAGTTTACTGGGCTTAAATATAGGCAGTCTTGTTTTAGAGTTTGCTCTTGAGTTATTATCCTATTTTGCTTCTCTGGAGGAAAGAAACAGCATTAGAGGAGTTATTATTGATATTTCAAACACTGTATTTAACAGTATAATGTAGAATACCTAATTTACTGAGACATCATTTCTTCTATGGAAAACTATAGAAATTTTAAAGTTTTTAAGGACCTTAGTCTTCTCTTTGTCATATTGAAGAAAAGTTGTTATTTTAGACAGAGATGAAGCTACCTGTTTTAGTATTGTGTGCCACGTTAAAGAAAGATATTAAAACTTTAAATATTTTCATGTCCAGTAAAGTGAGAATATGAATGATGATCAAAAATGTGGTGGAGCCATACTGGTCCTCTTGGCAGCCACTGCAGTATCTGGGTTCCTTTGGGTAACTGGAGCTGCCTAGGCTCAGCCGAGGGAAGTGCTGAAACTATTATTGAAATATGGCAGGACTGGTGGCAGTAGCCATGTTTAATTATGTGGCTGTGGTGGTTGATACATTGTGTCAACTTGAGGGGTCAGAAGCTTATCTGGAGACTTGAGAGTGGAGGCCTGGCCTTTGGGCAGGAAGAGTCTGCCCTAGAGTGACTCAGCACTTAAAGGGTGTATAAAAGGGTTGAGGACGCTTCTGTACCACTTCCTTGGAGGAGCTTGATCAATGATGCAGCTGCTCCACTTTGGAGGAGCTCACATTTTTGCCATAGCCACTGCCACTTCCTTGGAGGAGCTCCCTTGGAAGGAAGGGAGACTTGATAGACACCACAGCTGCTGCTCTTCCTCTACTCTTTGTTGTTTTCTCCTGCCATCTGCCTTGGAGCCAGCAGAGTATGGACTGAAATCTCCAGTAACTGTGAGCTAAATAAACCTTTCCTTTCTTAATTTTGTGTGTCAGGTATTTTGTCCCAACAACAAGTAAAAAGTAACTGAGATAGTGGCCGTACAAGAGCAAGAGCTGGACATGAAGTGAGAGATTATGGCTTCTGAATGATTCTGAATCTTGGTAGTGAGTTAGAAATTCCATTGACTAAAACAGGTTTTGTGCCTTCTATGTGGAAAGGAAAAACAGTGCTTGGAAAACATATATTGTGAAAAACCTAAAGGATACCTTAGGTTTGGAAATCACTGGCAGAGATTCTACATCTCCTGCTGATGACAGTTTTGTTGACCTGGGAAACATCTTTATGACTTTAACATGCCTGCTGACTATGTGAAATATAACTACAAGGCTGAGAGGATGAATTATCATTGATTAAAAAAAACAAAAGTGATGGTCATGGAGGAATGTAGTGATGGGTGGTGGCCAGGAAGCTACAATGGACAAATTGGATGGTTTCCTTCAAACTATGTAACTGAAGAAGGTGACAGTCATTTGGGTGATCGTGTGAGTTCAACATCAGAAAAATTAGCAGTTGTCACTAACCTAAATACTGGCCAAGTGTAGCCTATGGTACAGGCTGCTCACTCATTCAGTTCATCCAATAATAAATTAAATTTTGAGAAAGGCAATGTATAATAGATGTTATTGGAAAGCCAGAAAATGACCCAGAGTGGTGGAAATGCAGGAAGATCATGAATTGATTGATCTTGTACCAAAAACTATGTTACCATATGCGAACTAACTCATTAACTTCAGGTTTGGAATTATTACCTACCTCCACAGTGTGATTATGTTAGGCCTTCACTCACTGGAACATTTGCTGGCAATCTTTGTATTGTGGCATAGTTATCAGACATCAAGCAGAAATGGCATGAAATGAAAGAGGACACGAAGGAGACTTTCTCGTATGTGATAGTGAATCTTTACCAAATGATTTTTCTGTACCATTGAAAGCACAGGGGAAAAACAAGCTTTTAAAGTCCAACTAAAAGAGGCCTTCTACTGCTTTGGGCAATGTATATTCAACACCATGGAAGAACTTGTAGAACCTTACAAAAAGGCACCAATTTTTACAAGTAAACAAGGAGAAAAGTTCTATCTTTTCAAGCATTTATGATACTGCTAATCAGAAGTGACTTACACAGTTTTATTCCTCACATAATCGAACACTGAGAAAGTGTTGGTTCAATCCTTTTTTTTTGGTTCAATCCTTTTTGACTACAAATTACTCTCTGTATGAGAACTGATTATAATACATAAGTATTTTTATTACCCTTCAGCCCATACATATATACTATATATGGAATGCATCAGCGTAAAACAGTTACTTATCCTTGGCCTTTTATTTCACTGTTTTCTTTATTGTTTTTCTCTTCTAATGTTAAAGTTTTACATTTTGAGAAAAATCAAATCACACAGATCAGAAGTCTGTATGGAAGAATTCCTTTATTGCCTTTCCTGTGTTTCCTTGTAAAGGTCCCTGTTCTGCCAAAGTTTCTCTTCATATAAAATTTTATCTATACATGGCATATGCTAAAGTAAATTTATTGGAAGTGTTATCTTTTCTGTGACTAAATTGCAATAATAAATGGAAAATTAGGGCCAGGGAGATGGCTTAGTAGGATAAGCACTTCCCTGGCAAACACGAGAGTCTGAGTTCAATCCCTGGTTCTGCGAGAAAAAAATAAAAAATAAATAAAAATAAATAAATAAATAAATGGAAAATTAGAATTAAAAAAGTGAATTATTTTTAATTGAAAAAATTACAACATAAGGCACATAGCCATTTATCTCCCTCAAAATACTTCCTCTTGCCTGAATACAATTAATCCCATCATCCTTGCTACTTTCTGAAGTCTTCTTCATGAAAATCTTTAGTTGCACTGTTGTGGCTGGCTGCCTCGACATCCTGAATCAAAAATTTTGACTTGGGGGAGAACTGGATGTTGGTAGTAAATAAGTTAAATTGGGACATAGTATAATGTTTTTGATAGAAACTTCTGTACTAAAAGCAATATATGATGTATCGTAATGGAGGATGGAAGCATTTGCCCATTCTTAGCCATTTTCTATGTACATTGTTCCTTAAATAATATGCTTTTCTAATATTTACAGTTCGCTGTGGTGTTCCCAGAGTACAAACTCAGTTCACACAATTCTGTCAAGGTCAAAAGCAGTCTTAAAAATTTGGAATTTGAAAGGGTATGATCATGAAACTCTATAGTACAGTTAACTAAATTTCATGTTAATTTTTGTTTGTGACCCATGATTTACATTACACTTAAAATACACCTCTCAACTATAGCTCACAACAGAGTGACTACACTGAACAAGTTGAAACTTGTCACACACTGGTTCCACTGGCCACCTCCTGTATTGAAGATATCTTCCTTCTGGTTGGATGGTACTTTGCTATAGCTGTATTTTTTTTTTGATCCACATGGCATAAGGCATTATCCGAAGAATATTTGACTAGAATTTAGATGGTTTGAGTTTTTCTTGTTTTTAGTTCCTCACTTACCTACCAGTACTTCTAAAGTTCTGTTTTCTTATATGGGAATAATAACAATAATAATTTTCATTTTAAAATATCTTTCCTAAAGTTATTAGTAGTTGTAAAAATCATTGAGATAATGGATTGAAGATACTAATAAAATTTAAAACTCTAAATTAGCATATATTGTGACAGTTTTTGTGATATCATTAAGACTGGTAAGCTTATTAGGTATTGTTGATTTAGAGAGCCGGCAAGATAGCTCAGTGGACTAAGTGCCTGCTTTGGCAAGCACAGGGACCAGGGTTGGATCTCCGGTCCCACAGGCCACACTGGCCCTGCCCCTGGGGCACGTTGAGCTGACAACAAGAGTCCAGGCATGGTGGTACACACCTCTAATCCCAGCAGTGGGGAGGCTTAAAATAGGATCACTACAAGTCCAAGCATAGTGAGATCCTGTACCAATACATACATTTAAAAAAAAAAAAAGTATTGATTTAGAAGTGTCATTTTATTCTCAAAAAATGTATCATGTATGGGATGTGGTACTTTGTCACATCGTTTTTATACTTATTCACTTAACTAAAGTTATCTGGTTGATTTATTTCTCAAAATATTAATCAGTGAAAATGTTTTTACTTCTCTTAGGAAGAATATAATGATAACAATTGCTCAGTACCACCCTTTCAGTGTCTCTCATCATTTGAGGAGAGATTGTCCTCAGTATGGATTTAGTTTCACTGAAATAAACATAGAGTTTAACAAAACTGTAGTATTTTGTGTCTTAGCATGGTGATAGCCACAAATTCACTTTTAAACTTTAAGGAAAACACCATTTTAACTTTTCTGCTTTTTTTTTTTTTTAATAGGAATAATGTATTTGTGGCCCTGGACATGAAGTAATCAGTCCTCTCTTGCTGCTGACGTAGGGTCAGGAACTGATGAGGGAAGCATGGACCTAATGAATGGACAAGCAAGCAATGTTAATGTCCCAGCTACTGCTTCTGAGGTAAGACACTTACAGAACTTAGAGAAAGTTTTCTACCTGGCTTTCTGATTTTTCAAGCATTATAGTATATCATATTTTAACAGCAGAATGTGAGAAAAAGGGGTTCACATATTTTTTAAAGACTTTTCAAACTTTCAGTTTTGCCATTCATATGTTAGTTGTGCTTATTAGAAACATTTAATCCTTATCTATTGGGATACCTGGAAAAAATGACTAGTAATACTGGAAAACCCTTTCTTAGGTTTAGTTTTTTTTTTTAAAAAAGGAATTTTTTTTTAGGGTGTTTTTAAATTACATGAATCTTGAAGGCAATAATATAACTGGGGCAGAGAACATTTATTTGGAATCACTAAGTCAAGATGCCTTGGTTTCAACCCTATTAGATGAGATGAAGTACTGACAAGCTGGGATACTAGAAGGATTTACTTGGTTAATGTAAGATGGAGGTAAAAACTGAATTAGGTACTCAAATCTTTAATGTATTGCTATATTATTTTCACCTATTTTCTGTTTTGCTTTGCCCACACATTTAGAGTACTTTCCTTAATAGTTTCAGAAGTTGGCTCCTATGTTTTCCTCTTACTATATTGGAGAATAATGTTTATGACTGTTCAACACTTTAATATCTTGACTGTAAAACTTGTTAATCTGTACTTTTTTTTTTAACATCCAGTAATAGCACGTGTGCTTAGGTTTAAACCTTTATTTATTTATTTATTTTTGTTTATTCCCTTTTACTCATCAAACCTGCAAGGCAGAAATGACTGTCTTATGCAGTGTAGCAATGGAAGTGACATTCTATCACTTTTACTGTATTCTGTTCAGTAGAAACAAGGCAGGGTCTGGGGAGATGGCTCAGTGGAATAAGTGCTTCCCTGGCAAGGGCAAGGGCCTGAGTTCAATCCCCGGTTCCACAAACAAAAAAAAGAAACAAGGTATACATCCTGCCCACATTGAAGGGGAGCTAATTGTATCAGGCCAGGAATACACAAAGAGATCTTTGGCAACCATCTTGGAGCCAGCTGTTCGCTGCATCTTGTCTCTAGCCTTGTGCCCTTATTTCTACTACAACCATCCTAGTTTGCTCTTTTATTATTTTTTAGATTATTGTAGTGGCCTTTTAATTTGGTTTTATAATCTTTGTCGTTTCTGATTCATATGATGCAAATCTATCATTACTGTTCTTAAAATACATCTTTTAAACTTTATCTTGTCCCTAAACCAACTTTTGTGCCCTTTTTTGTTCTGTTTGAGTTTTTTGAGAAAAGGTCTTGCTATGTTGTTCAGACTGGCCTTGAACTCACTGTGTAACCAGACTGCTCTTAAATTCAAGGCCATTCTCCTGTCTCAATCTCCTGAATGCTGGGATTACAAGTGTATGGCATCAACACCTCTCTATGGTTCCTTATTACCTACTAATTCAGACATCCTTCATGCTGTTCTTTGAAGTCTTGGTCCACAATTTTCTTTCACATGGATTTAATTTCTACAAATAATCAAAATTTATATTTTGTTGAAAGAATAGTACACTTTCCTACTATTTTATATCAACTTAATCAAAACTTATATAAACTACTGTTGCAACTTTGCCCAAATTGGTTTTTCCTCTGGAGTTTTTCTTCTCTTTTTAATGTACCCTGGCACACAGAAAACTTTGTCTTTCATCCTGTAATTCAAGTGTTATACTTTTAACAATCTCCTGAACAGATAAACTTTTAAGTATGTTTTTAGTTAAATTTATGCATAGATATTTCTTCCTCATTGAGACAGACTATATTGTGTTTGTGTGTGTGTGTGTGTGTGTGT